ACAGTAGTGCGACATTCACTTTCCCGCTTTTTCTTTCTTAAACTATGTATTTTAAATAGTAATATAATAATGTACCTATAAATAATAAAGTAACAGATATTATAAGACATGTTTTAGAARATTTTAGAGAATTTTAAAGTTTTTGAATCTAATATTTGAACTTGAATTTTATTTTAAGATTTTTACATTCTTTTATTCATGATTATTATAAAAATTTAACAAACTATAACAATTAAAAGTAAACCAGGTAAAGAAATATAATATGATCTAAACCTATAAAAAGAATAAATAATAATGTATTGAGATAAAATTATTTTTCCACATGACAGAAGTTCAAAACTACCAGTTGGACTGAATTGGCAGTTACGAGTTACAATATTATGTTAGAAGTGTACCTAAGACGTATGAACTGTAACTTGTTCAACCTTGCATGATATAATAGTTTATATTGATTATAATTTTATTTTCTAGAACAGTAACAAAGTTTGATTCTGATAAATGGGAAAAAACCATGCAAATTACATTATTCGCATATTTAATAAAGCATTCGCGTGTGAGTTTCTCGTGGACTCATATTTGTGGTTATCAATAAATAATTATTGATAATGTGAACTTAGTACAAATTAGCCGTATATAATATATAATCAATAATATAGCCCATATATAGGTCTTAGAAATGGACCGTTAACTTATTTCCAATATGTTAATTATGAATTATGATGATAATAATACTACCCTACTCTAATTTAGATATAACTCTTTCATTATGTAGCTAAAATAATATGCCAATACAAACTATTCATGTAAGGTGCCTAAGTATTAATGATAATAATAATTTATTTCGATCACGGTAGTATTACGATAATAGGTAGTTRACTTATTTTATTTTTACAATAATTTTGACATTATTCACCATTGTGGAAGATCTCTTTTTGATGATACAAGAGAAACTAATTAAAACATTAGAAAGTATAGGCTTTAACAATATTCTTTAAATATTTAATATACTATTTACAAGTAAAATAAACGGAATAATTAATAAGTGCAGTGTATAAAAATAAAATTAATTATCGTATAATTATTCTTATAAAYCCATACAAAAAAAATTATAATGTATTATATCCTCCCTAGTTTATTTTATTATTTATGTTGTTATTTAGATGTGGTGAATGGCTGTACACAATATCTGCTACGTATACGTTTGGCCAGCCCTCCCACGTGCATTTTTTGTTTTTTGAGGGGTAGGAAGGTCGTGTGAATTTTTAAACTAGGTGTGCGAATTCGTGCGAATTATGTGCTAAATATCTGTATA